GGGGGCTCTGAGGACCCCTCCGTGGGGGGAGCTGGGTTGGTCAGGGGGGTTCTAAGGACCCCTCCATGGGGCGGGGGGTTGGTCAGGGGCTCTGAGGACCCGTCTGTGGCCTGGCTTCTGTTGCTGACGGACGTTTCCTTCCCCTCCTGCTCTCCAGGGCCCGGATGCCTTCTCCGTGGAGCCGCCCAGGCGGCGCAGGCTGTGTGAGGAGCTGTGGCCGGAGCTGCCGGAGCTGGACAGTGCGTAGCCTCCTCTCCCCTCCCCGTGCCACAGCGGCTGGTCCGGTTTGCACGTGGCCCAGCAGCAGGGGGAGGGTGCTGGTTGTAGATCGGTGCATGCCGGGCTGGTGAGCTGGGACAGGTCCCCCCTGCCCCCCGTGTCCTGAAGGGGTTCAGGGTGTTGGGGGCGATGCATCTCACATTGGGGAGGGGGTGCCACTGGGCTGGGGCACAGCTATCTCGACAGTGGGGGAGCCAAGGGGCGCCCCGGCGCTGTTCCCCCGCCCCAGCGCTGTTCCCTGCCTTTGCAGGCAGCTCTGAGAGTGACCGAGGCAGTGGCACGGAGGAAGAGGAGGAGGCTGGCCCTGACAGCGGGTTTCTGGAGGATGCCACCACCCCGCTCACCGAATTCCTGTCCCTCAAGCGGGAAGCTGCTGAGGGGAAGCTCTGCCTAGCGGACACAGAGGCCTCTGGCGGGAAGGTAAATCTGGGCACGTTTCCCATCAGACCCGCTGCCTTCCTGTCACCATGGCAATGAGGAGCATGAAACACAAACAGCCGTGGCCAGGTGTGATGGGTCTCGGGGTGCCCAGAGCTGGGAGGCGCCTTGGTCTCTTGTGTTGGGGGAGTTTTGCTTGTGCTTAGCTGGGTGTCCACTCCCTGACCCCACCCTCTCCTCGAGGCTGTGCCAGCCCTTACCTTGCCTTGCAGGTTAACGGGAGGTGCACCCAGGCCCCGAGCCCCTGTCTGGCCCAGCCTGGTCTCCACGGGACACTCCCACAAGTACCAGGCCTGCTGTCTCCCAGGGGCCAACATGTACACCTGTTTGTGAGAGTCAGGATCCGCTCTTTGTGTGATATCACAGCACTGAGGGATCTTTATAGTGAAAATAAGGGTGAGATCATTGCCAAAGAACCAAGAGATGGCGAGGGAGAATAATAGAAACGAAAGGTTACCTGCAAAACAAAATCATAGCACGCTTTCTGGAGCTGCACTTCACTCAGCAGGCTAAGCTGCCGGCCAGCGAAGCGTATCTCACCCCCAAACTCCTCTGCCGAGTCTCAGCCAAGGGGGGTTCAGATCCCGTTTTCAGGACCGTAAATGCCCAGCCTGCTTCCTTCCTAAGTGCAGGATGTGGGGCGTCGTCTCTGCCTTCTGCTCACGTCCCCAGAGTTCAGTGTCTGTTCTCAGGGCAGGATAACGCACCGGGCCTTCTTTTTCCTGCGTGCCGCTTCCCCGCTGATTGCACATCTCCCCGCTGGCTTCGGATGTACGTGGGTATCCGCTGTGCTAGCTTATGGTGCTCACGTCCCGCCCGAGAGCCAGGTGAACAAAGGTCTCTTGTGTGGCAGAAAACCCGCACGCTGTTACTGGACATCCACAGCCCCTTACGCAGCATCTGTGTGGACATTTCGCTCTGTGGGGACCCAGAACGCACAAGCCAGCATTGGGGCATTGCTGGGACCCCCTCGCCAGTTGGTGTGACGGGATTCTTGGGTCACACCAGGACCCACCGCGTCAGATCTGAACTGGCTACGTACAGAGCCATCCATCCAGACAGCTCCCAGGGCTCACCCGTCCCTGTCCTCCACCCGGGAGCTTTCCCAGCTCTCTCCTATCCCCGGAAGGGGGATGCTGAGGCCTGGAGCAGAGAAGGAGGGACCCAGGCCCTGTGTCTCCTTGGTCACCGTGCTTCTCAGACCACACGGGGGCCCAATGGACTCGGTCTGGAGTGTGTGTGGATTTCTGGAATCCGTTGGCGCTGCCCATCCCTGGCTCCGTGTCCACCTGCCTGGTTTTGGATAGCGCCCATCACGGTGATACCGAAGGGCCTGGCGCAGCCTGGCAGAGCGTGGGTAGAACGCTGCCATTGGGAGCGCTGGCCTCAGTGACAAGACACAGGGCAGCCATGAACCGGGCCCTAAGCGCTCCTCTGCCCCTGACGTTCCCGGTGTCGCTGTCCCTGTGCCCAGGCTCTGGGGCGGCACTTAGCGCACGTCTGGGTCTGAGCCGGGAGGCGATTCCCAGCCCGCGTGGACGGACGCGCTAGCTCTGCTCGCGCTGGTGCTAAACACAGCATTGTAGCTGGGGGAGCACGGGGCGGGGGGGACTGCCAGAGTGCCGACCCGCCCGGCCCCCCTCGGTCTGTACTCGGGTGGCTAGTCTGAGCTGCCGCCTTTCCTACCCCGGCTACACGGGTGACCTTGGGCGAGTCCCTTCTCCCTGACTAAGTGTGCCGTGGCCAGCGCACGGGGCCCCTGCTCTTGGTGTGCGATTGCCGATGGCACCAACCAGCCGCAGGGGCTGCACAGGCTGCTAGGGGCGGGGGAATCTGTCTGGGGTTTGCTCTGGCCCCTGGGCGTAGTGCCTCACCGTCGCCGATGGCGTCGCTCGGAGCCAGCCCCACTGCACGCATGGGGGTCCGAGGCGCAGTGGATGAAGTGACCCACTCCAGAGTCACACAGGATCTGTGGCAGAGCAGGGCCAGGGCCGGGTCTCCTGAGTCCTTGGCCCCCACCCTGCCCACTAGGCAAACCATCCCCACCCTCCGCCTGCGCTAACTGCTTTGTCTTCTCTTTTCTCCTTCGAACCATCCCCCTCATTCCCCCGACATCCCATGTGCTCCTGCGACCTGCTGTGTCCGCCCCTCCCTCCCCGTCCCACCATCTCACTCGGGCCGAACCGTCCCCCCTTCCCCCTGCTCCTCCCACGGGCTCCCACGCCAGCTCCCCGACTCCCCTCTCATCTCGGTGATGTCCCACCTCCTCTCCTTCCTGGAGCACTACGGGCAGATGCAGCGGCTGCAGGAGCAAGCCGGGGAGTACCGCTCCCGCCTGCGCCGGGAGGAGAGCCGGCGCCGGAAGCAGCTGCGGACACTGAGGAGGGCCTACAGGCAGCAGGTGCAGGACAAGCTGAGCGTCATCGAGAGCCTGGAGGGCGTCATCTGCGAGCAGCAGAACGTCATGGAGACGCTGCACGGTGGGGAGTCGTTCGCCCCGACCGCAGCAACGCCCACAAGCAGCAACCTGGGCTTCGGGGGTGAAATTCACAAGGCCTGGGCGCCGCTGGGGTCCCGCCTCCACTGAGGCCTGGGTGCCACTGGCTGGGGTCCCGCCTCCGCCGCTGGCTGGGGTCCCACCTCGTCCCATAGTGCCTACGCCTTGTTAGGCCTTGTGTGAATTTCTCCCCTCTGAACACAACAGAGTAGAGAAGCTCCTGAGGTTGTCCCTGAGGACCAGGGTGATGGGCCTGCTGCAGCCGTGGAGATGCGGGAGGGTGGCTGCACTGGTGATGGGAGGGGACCTGGCTGGCAGTTGGGCATGGAGAGGGGTTGGTAATAGGGGGGTGGAGGGTGGAGCCCTTCACCTCTAGGATGGTGGCTGCTCAAAGCCATCTGTCAGGCAGCTGTGGCTGCCCCATGCGGCCGCTGGAGGCAGCGTGTGCTGGAGGGTCTTGGCTAAGGGGCAGCGTCCAAACGAAATGGTGATGAGTGGTGGTCAGTCGGCCCCTTGTTGGCAGCCTCTGGAGAGAGGCCAAGGACTGAATGAGTCATGGAGACTGATCTGCAGGGACCATGCTCTGCTGGAGGGAGAAGAGACTTCATCTTCTGAAGTGACCCGATGAACCAGTGAACCCCAGCTCGCGCATCCACCCGTCCATCCAACACACCTGTCCATCCACCCAAAATACTCATCCACCCAACACACCCACTCATCCAACACACCATCCACCCATCCATCCAACCCACCCACCCATCCATCTGCCCGTACATCCAACACACCCACCCACCCAACACACCATTCACCCACCCAAAATACCGATCCACCCTCCCATCCAACACACCTGTCCATCCATTCATTCATTCAACATACCTATGCATCCACCCCCCCCATCCAACACACCATCCATCTGTCTATTCATCCAACACACATATCTATCTGCCAATCCGTCCAGCACACCCTCCCATCCAACACACCTGTCCATCCATTCATCCATCCAGCACACCCACCCCTCCACCCAAAATACACATCCACCCTCCCATCCAACACACCCACCCATCCATCCAACACACCCATCCACCCATACATCCACCTGTCCATG